AAATATTAATATAACATTTCTAAAAAAATTTGATATATTTGATAAAATTCAATAATTATATAATTTATCTTTTTTAATGTATATAAAATAATCATGCTTTGAAAAACTTAATGACTTGCCATGAATTAAATTTGACCATATCGCCAAGCCTAGGCCTCATGATATTTACAACTTTGGGTATAAAAAAAAGGTAAGCGATATTTGTTGTATTTAACCATATTGCTTATTATCCCTTTTAATTTTTATTACAACATTTTATTTTCATATTTGTATATTGTTGTACTAGTTATAAGACCCGTGCATTATTCATCACAAAAAGAAAAATATAAACGTCTAAACATTTAGAAGATTTGAATTTATAGCGAAAGTAAAAAAATAATTGAATTGTTGAAATTGAAATTCTTTTCTTTTATTTTAAATTTAAACAAATAATTTAAAGAGATGAAAAAAAATTGGCATTTATTTAAAATTTTTAAAAGTAAAAGGAAATTTGCATAAATTCAATTGATAGCAATTTATTATAATTATTACATTTAAACACTATATGAAATTTAATAAAATGAAAAAAAAATCATAACATGATATGTGAAAAAAAAAATAATTTAAAATAATCACAAAGTAAAATGTAACAAAATAAATGAAAATATAACATATAGTAAAAATATTTTTATTTTTTAGAGTAGATTGTATTTTTTAAAAATATCCTAATACATCTTTAAAATACAAAAGATGTTTTTTACTATTATAAGTGAGAGAAAAATACTAATGAAGCACAATATTATACTAGTAATTAACTAAAAGAGTATTAATAATGTGATACACATATAAATGCAAGTATGATGCAGTTATAATAATCAAATAAATACCAATGAAACCATTAATTATGCTTTACAAAATATTCCTCTTGTATTCATCATTAATGAGTGTAGAAATAACTTCTTTGACAATACACTTGTTTTTGTTTAAGGCACTCTCTTGTAACGCCGGGTATATGGACGAAGGAACAAGTAGAAGCATGGAAACCTATTGTGAATGCTGTTCATGCAAAAGGCGGAATCTTTTTCTGTCAAATTTGGCATGTGGGGAGGGTTTCAAATGCGGGTATACACTACTGAAAAGCCTGAAAAATATTAAATATATGATTTTTTTTCCTATTTATTTTTGCTACCAATATTGTTATATACTTTAGTTTCTAGTCCCAGTACATATAATAACAATTAACTATATTTTTAATTCATATTAGCAATATATTGTATATTTACTCACAATACCAATGTATTTACATACATAACTAAGGCGGACATTGTGTTTGAAATGTTAATATTTTATTTTTAATAACTAACATGTAATTTTATTGCTATTACGTTAAAATTTAAGCAATTATAAATATGTTGCTATCACATATATTGCTTACACGGTTAAGAAATTAAGTATATTACATATATTATTAAGAAGACTAAAGTTCATTGATATTTTCTACAATTGACATTTCTTTAATTCAATGTGTCTAGTTAACATTTTAATGCTTCTTCTTTTGAATAGGTTTTCCAATCGGGGAACTTGAAAACCCCAATGAGGAAGTCGAAATAATATCATCAACCGATAAACAACTAATGCCAAATATTAAAAAATTTACACGTCCACGAAGGCTACGTACCGAAGAGATTCCTACTATTGTTAATGATTTTAGAGTTGCTGCAAGAAACGCAATTGAAGCGGGTAAGACTTACTACATTTTATCTAGTATATTCTCTATCTCTCAAGAGTATTACAAGTTCAACATAGAAATGAATGTGATCTTCAATGAAGCTACAATCGCTTACTATTTGCTTCTTTTATGAAACATAGGCTTTGATGGAATTGAGATCCATGGAGCTCATGGTTACCTCGTTGATCAATTTCTGAAAGACAATGTAAACGATAGGACAGACCAATATGGTGGATCTTTAGAAAATCGTTGTAGATTTGCTTTAGAAGTAGTTGATGCTGTTGTGAAAGAGATTGGAGCAGATCGAGTTGGGTTTCGACACTGCCCATTTACGATTGTTTATGAAGGCCTTGACTCGGATCCGTTATCTTTAGGCCACTACATGGTGAAAGCACTAAATTCATACAACATTGCTTATTTGCATATGGTGGAACCAAGGTGGGATATGTTGGATGATAATGCCAAAAGTATATATAGTCTTTCGCCAATGAAAGAAGCATTCAATAGGACTTTTATCGCTGCGGGTGGATACAATTTGGAAGATGGAAACAATGCGGTGGCAGAAAAAAGGACAGATCTTGTTGCTTATGGTCGGTTGTTTATAGCAAATCCAGATTTGGTAAAGCGGTTTGAGCTTAAGGCACCTCTTAATAAGTTCAATCGGGTGACAGCTCCTTTAAATGATCCCGTTCTTGGGTACACTGATTATCCATTTTTGGAAACCTACGGTTAATAGATGGGAAAGGGACAAAAATCATTAGTATCATAAAAGAATAAAGATTATGTAATAAATTCAAGGGGATATTATCAATATAAACTAAGTACCATTTGAAGAGGAGCAACAATGTAAGTTTATTCAAATGTATTTCATCTCTATGTTAAATGGTTTATCTATAATAAATTATTTAATTTTCTAATTTATTACACTGCCACAAAAATAAGCATTGGTCACTGTTTAGCCATGGTTTTGCTTATTTTCATGGCTAAATGTTATTTTATGAAATTGGAGTATTGTTTTAGCCATATTTTAGCTCAAAAGCGTGACAATGGCAAACGTATTCACATTAGTTGCGATTTATTTTAAGAATCATGACAATTACATGCCATGGTTGTACATTTTTCCACATTAGTCATCATTCATCAATGTATTTTTTATTGATACCTAGATTTCTTTTAACTTTTATTAAATGAGACAATAACTACATATATTGTCACAAAAATCCTTTTATTTGAACAAGGTAGCACGAAATAGAAGTGTATGTGATTAAATAGTAGGATAGAATTAGTAACATCAGTAAATGGTCGCAAAAAGATAGTGTGTGGTCATGAAAAACCCTTTTGTGTGACCAAAAGATAGACTTTATTAGCCACATGACTATAAGTAACATCGGTCACAATTTAATATTATAACGTGTGTTTAAAAGTAACCACTTTTCATCGTAAAAGATAAAAAAATGGTTATTATAAATGTCTTATAATCATTGTTTCTAATTTATGTGTGTCTAAAAATAATCAATTTTCATGATAAAAATAAAGATTATATAAATGTTCCGGTCACAACTTAATACTATAATATGTCTAAAAGTAACTATCATGATATAGATATAAATTTATGATTATAAGTATATAGTCACAAATTAATGGGTTTTTGTCATAAAAGCCCCTAATTTTATACAAAAAAACCGGTTATGCCCAAAGTCGTTTTTTTTATTTTTATTTTTATTTTTTATGCTACAGATGCCTCAAATACCGGAAAATTGGTTCGATTTTGCCATTTACCCTGATTTTACCTTCTGGGGCCAGTCACCTTTGTCATAGAAGCCCTTATATTTACTTATCACCTCCACCGCCCTTTGGCACCAACACCACCATCAACCACACACAAACCACCACCACCACTATCGTCCATCATCCACCACCACCACCACTACCATCAATCATCCACCACCACCCAACGCCATCATTATCCCTCCATAACAAAACCCATCATCACACCACCATCATCTTCTCCACTTAAACACACATGGTTTCTTAACTGAAACACAAACATACACACACATTCAAACAAGAATTCAGAACTCAAAGAAGATTTTCAGAACAACTCAAACAAGGAAATGACTTCAGATTCAGAGCTAAGACAATTCAGAACTCAAACACAATTCAGAACTCAAACAAGAAGAATTCAAACACAATTTTGTTTGGAGTTTTTTACAATCTGAGAATTGGAGCCATCGGCGATTTGGAACTCAAGTGGGAAAACAATATTGTTTATTGGAGAAGTATAGCAACCCCAAATCAATCAGATTTTCAAGTTGTTCTTGTTTATAATGGTGCCTTCTAACTGTTCGATAGAATGCCAAGCCCAGTTTGGTTGGAATTTGTGTATTTAACGAATCAAGCATTCCGGTATGCAAATGCTCGTATTCTCTATCCTCTGTTCCTTCTTCCAAATGATCGCTTCCATATCAACAAACCTGGAAATCTGGTTCTTCAATCATAAGCTCGATTATACCTCATTATGCACTATTTATCCACCTTACAAGATTTTGGAAACAAGATGTTATTGTTCATGAAACGAAATTTTGGAAACACAATTCAGAACTCAAACAAGAAGAATTCAAACAAAATTTGGGTTTGTTCTTGGAAAACACATACACACACATTCAAAGCAACATGAATCTGGGTTAGAGACACACCAAACCTTCTTCAATTGAATTCAGAACTCAAAGAATTCCGAACGCAAACATACATATACATTTAATCGAGCATCAAGCCCCACCTATTATTGGTGAACAAAATCAGAAGAGGAAGAAGAACCTTCAATCGATTTTGGAGAGTGAGAGAGCTGCATTTTTTTTTCTTGTTTCTTTGGATCCTGTCGATCGAAGAAGCAGATGGTGGTGAAGGGAAAAATCGAAGATGGTGGTGAAGGCAGAGAGGGTGTTGAGAACAAGACCAGGCGGGCTACCGGCCATAGAAGGTAAAATCAGGGTAAATGGCAAAATCGAACCAATTTTCCGGTATTTTAGGCATCTGTGGCAAAAAAAAAAAAAAACGACTTTGGGCATAACCGTTTTTTTTTTTTTTTTTTTTTTTTTTTTTTTTTTTTAAATTGGGGGATTTTATGACAAAAACCCCAAATTAATAGTCTAATGTGGGTTTAAAAGTAACAAGTTATCATTACAAAGATAAAAAAAACTGTGATTATAATTATATCATGGTCACAATTTAATATTATAATGAGTATCTAAAAATACGTCAAGATGAAGATATAAAAATGTTATTATAAGCAATATATGGTCACATATTAGATTATTAGTAGTATAATGTATGTCTAAATGTAAACTATCATGATAAAAATAAAAAGAAACTAGAAGTAATATCATAACATATGTCTAAAAGTAACTATTTGTCAACGATAAAGATAAAAAAAAAAAAAAAAAAAAAAAAAAACTATGCCTATAAGCACTTTATGTTATGATATTAAACTATAACCATAATGTATGGGTGGATATAGACGGGTGCCTCACTAATATTGAGGAACCAGAATAGATGGTTCTCATGATTTTGGAACCCAAACTGGTTGCATCCTACAATTCTTATTACAATAATGGTTAGTGGTAGATCCTTTACCATATGTTACACGCTGTTGAGATTGATATTTAACTTGTTTTTCTTTTTGAAAAATTTTCTTTTCGATGTTGTAATTCAGAAAAAAAAAATGCAGTCACGGGTAGTAAAGAAGGATTTTCTATACACTCTTCGTGTAGATAACACAAACGTTGATGGAAAGGAGAATAATATGTTTGTTATGACCTCAATTAAAGGTGTTTGTCACCCTTTCACTTATTTATCTTTCACACTTTCTTGAGATCTGCTTGTATAGTTTCTGTAATAGTTTAGGTAACCCTTTTAGCTTTTTTTTTTTTTTTTTTTTTTTTAATATAAAACTATTATCTCATATGTTCAAATAAGTAGATCCTACTTATTATTAAGGATATGAAGCCCAACATACAAGACAACAGCCCACATGAAACACAATAGCCCACAACTTTATATGACGTTTACAATTCATTACTCTGTATAGTCATTGTTCTATATGGTATCAAAGCTGCTTAGCTCCTAAGAGTCTCAATTTCGATCCAATTTTACTCCCCTCACTCAAATCTCAATCGCCATGTCAAGTGTTACGGAGGTCACAACACAAACACACACACACACACTTTCCAATTAAGTTCACAGCCAACAATTTTCCCGTCTGGAGGAAGCAGATCGTCGCAACCCTAACTGGGTTAGCTCTTGAAGGTTACCTTGATGGCTCGACAGCAGCCCCAGCCAAAAACCTAACAACAGACAACACGACAAAAACAAATCCGCAATATACCCTCTGGTATCGACAGGATCAAATCATTCTTGGAGCCCTATTGGGGAGCTGTGCAGAAACCATCCAACCAATTGTCTCTTCGGTTGAAACGACACAAGAAGCATTCAAATGTCTCACAGATAGCTATGCAAGCGTCTCCCGCTCTCGCATTATTTCTCTAAAATCTCTAATGGCAAACAATCCAAGAGGTACCCGATCTATCACTGAGTTTCTACATGATATGAAGAATATTGCAGATGACCTTGCTCTAGCTTAAAATCCGGTTGATGAGGAAGACTTAATAGTTCACATATTAGGACAACTAGGTGACGGTTACACACACATAGCCTCAGCTCTAAAGATTCGTGAAACACCTATCAAATACCCAGATCTCTTTGAAAAATTGCTTGATCACGAAAGGACTCTGAAAGACACACATACGTCCTCTGTTATCACAACAGTCAACAATACCCAAAAATCCAACAATCGATATTCATCAAAATCCTTCTATGACAACCGCAATCAACCTAAATTCAACAACAACAACTCAGGCAACAATTTTCGATCCAACCCAGGCCCCAATCGTTCGTCTGGTCAGTACAACGGAGGTAACAACCTCAACAGATGTAATAGAAACAATAGCTACTGCCAATTTTGCAATATCCCTGGACACGATACTAAAGAATGCAAGAAGCTTGCTTGGTATCTTAGAGAAAACAATATCAGTATTAACACATCTACCAATCCCACAGTTAACTCTACAGCAGCTTCCTCCCCAACCACAACAGCTCCATGGATGTTTGATAGCGGGGCATCTCATCATGTGGCATCTACTCCAGCCTCATTCCACACCCTGTCAGAGTATGGCGGACCAGAAGAAATCGTGTTAGGAAACGGTAAAGGACTATCCATCTCTCTTATTGGTCATTTTTCCCTTCCCACTTCTTCCCGTCCGTTAAATTTACATAATGTGCTATTTGTTCCTTAGTTGCATAATAACCTTATTTCAGTGGCTAAACTTTGCAAAACTAACAAAGTTTCTGTGGAATTTTTTCCCTCTTTCTTTCCTGTTAAGGACTTACGCACAGGCACAATTCTCATACGGGGCACGAACATCAATGATGTATACTATGCAGCCATTTGCTCCCTTCGTCAACTTCCAAGAGTCAACTCCACAGTCTCCTCAAATAAGTCGGTCACCTCCTGGCACCATAAGCTTGGTCACCCATCGGTCAAGATTTTCAAGTGTCTTCTAGCTCGTTTAGGACTTTCTTGTAATAAACATTCAAATGTTTCTTTTCATTGTGATTCGTGCTCTATAAATAAAAGCCACAAATTACCCTTTGGGCCAACTTCTTTTACTGCTACCAAACCTTTGCAACTCGTATATTTTGATGTTTGGGGACCGGCACAAACTTCCAACGATGGTTTTTCCTATTATGTCACCTTTTTCGATTTTTATTCAAGATACATTTGGCTTTATCCAATGAAACGAAAATCTGAAGTCTCCACCCTGTTTCCTCAATTT